TATTAAGTGTTTACTGTGTGCTGTGCATTGTGCTAAACACTGAAGGTTTTTTTAAGAGCAAAAACAGTCCTTACCTAAAAGAAGATCACATCCTAATTGGGAGACAACTACAGATATACAGGCATTTCTAAGCTATATACAGGGTAAATGGAAAGCAGCCTGAAAGGAAGAGGCAGCAGGAGGAGCTAAGAGGACCTAGAAAAGCCTCCTGAAGAAGGTGGCATTTGAGCTGAGTTTTGAAGGCAGCCAGGGAAACTAAGGTGGAGATGAGGAGAAAGAACATCCCATGCATGGAAGACAACCAATGAAAAGATATGGAGCCAGATGAAATGTTGTGTCTGAGGAACTAAAGTAGGCCGGTGCAGCTGGATTATAGAGTGCACGGAGGGGCACAGAGTATGAGAAAACTGTGAGAGTAGGAAGGGAATCCGCTATAAAGAATTCTAAATGCTAAGCAGTACTTGATATTTTAACCCAGAAGTAAAACGGAGCTAGTGGCATTTGATGGGCAGGGATATGATATGATCAGACCTATGATTTAGGAACATCCCTTGGACAACTGTATGGAGGATGGACAGGAGAGGGAAAAGGCATAGGCAAGGAGACTACTTAGAAAGCTCCTGCAATAGTCCAGCTGAACGATGATAACGACTTGAACTAGGGTGGTACCTGTGTGAGTGGAGAGAAGGGGGTGTATGTAAGACATGTTGTGAATATAAAAACAAGGGTTGGCAATGGATTGAATATTGGAGTTAAGATTTGAAGATGACACTGAGGTTATGACCCTGAGTGGTACCTAGGACGGAAGATAGCAGTGCCCTTGTCAATAATAGGGAGGTTCAGGGAGAAGTGAAGTTTTGGAGGAAAACATGACACTTTTCATCTGGATCATCAGTTCTGTTTTGGGCATACTAACTTTGAGATGACCATTGGGACTTCCAATAATCAATATCCAAGAAGTAATTGCTAATGTGAAATTGGAGCTGAAGAGAGATTATTCTTATTCATTCTTTTCAGTCATGTCCAACTCTTCATGACCCCATTTGGAGTTTTCTTGGCAAAGACACTGGGGTGGTTTGCCATTTCCTTCTCCAGTTATTTTACAGATGAAGAAACTGAGGTAAACATGGTTAAGTGACTTGCCCAGGGTCATGAAGGTCAGATGTGAACTCAGATCTTCTTGACTTCAGGCTCAGCACTCTATCCACTGCACCACCTAGCTGCCCTGAAGAGAGATTAGGGTTAGATAAATAGATCGGGGAATCAGCTACATAGACGTAGATGGAAACTAATGGCTTCAACAAGTGAACCTTAGAGGCTCACTCACAGTTAGTAGGCATTGGATAGATGAAGATCCAGCAAAGGAGACTGAGACATAGTCAGATAGGTAGGAGGAGAATTCAGGGAGAGCAGTGTCAGGAAAACCTACAAGAAGATAGTATCATGAAGGAGAAGGTGATCAGCAGGGTCACATGCTACAGAGAAGTCAAGAAGGATGAGGACTGAGAAAAGGCTACCAGATTTAGCAATTAAGAGAGTATTAGTAACTTTTCAGAAAGTAATTTCAATTAAATGGTGAGATCAAGGCCAGACTGTAGAGTACTAAGAAGAGAGTGAGAGGAGAGTAAGATGTCTTTCAGAATGGATGGGTGATAAAGCATTTATTAAGTGCTTGCTATGTGCCAGGCACTGCGCTAGGCAACAGGAATACAAATACAAAAAAGTAAGGTAACATCTGCTGTCAAGAACCTTAAATTCCAATAAGAAATGATAGAATGTACAGGGGAACTATGAAAGGATGACGGGCTGTGCCCACGGAGGTACGATTAGAAAACGGACATGAAGGTCTAATTCTAGACAAGATAAGGCAAAAGCTCACCTATGAAAGATCAGGGTAAACCCAAGAGCCAAGTCCAAGCTTCCCATGGGACAGGAGAAAGAGGACGAAGATAGCCCAAATACAGGAAGCATCAATAGGAAATGCTGGCAAGTCTTGCTAAGAAAAGGAAGTGGGATATGAAGTGATAACTACTATGAATGGAATCAAATGAGAAATTTTTAAGGATGGGGGGAACACATGGGCCTGTTTGTTGGAGCTTCTACACTGATTAAGGTGTTAGCATATCTCAGGTGGAAGAAGCTCAGAGAATTAGAGCAAAGGAAACTGAGTCACAGAATGTTAGAAATGGAAAGAAACTTAAAGGTACAGTGGTGTCAAACTCAAACAGAAAGGCCCCATACCTGCAGAGCACATAATTTCTTAGAATAACACAAATCAACATTTTCTATGTTGTATTGTTTTTGTTTATTTTGTTAAGCATTTCCCAATTACATTTTAATCTAGTTCAGGCAGCTCTAGAGAGTTTTGCTGATGAGTTTGACACCTCTGATCTAGTTTGACCCTTTGTCTTTTACAAATGATTTTCCATTAAAAATTAGTTGGGGGGGGAGGCAGAATCCATATTTGACATTGGATAGAGATTTATTTTTATTAAGAACCACCACCAGGCCACCAAAAAATACTCACACAACAACTGTACCTTTGTCCTTTCCAACAAATACTATCAGTAGTCATTTATTAAGTCAACAAACATATATTAAGTGCTTAATACATACCAGGCACTGGGCCAAATGCTGGAGTTACGACTTCCTGTCTACTGGGTACCTACTACCTAGAAGCACTCCCATTTTCTCCCCCATCCTCAAAAACTTCTTACTTGATCCACCTATCCCTACTAGCTAGTGATCTCTAAAGTTTTATGTCTTTTCTTCTGTTTGTGACTAACTAACTACCTTGAGAAGGCCATCTACAATCGATACCTACATTTCCTTTCCTCTCACTCTCTTCTTAGCTCTCTGAAGGCTGGTTTTTGAACTCATCATTCAACCAGAACTGCTATCCCCAAAATTGTTAATGAACTCTTAATTGCAGGATCAAATGCTTTTCTCAATTCTCATTCTTCTTGACCTTGCTACACCCTCTGATACTATTGATCACCCTCTTATCCTTAATACTCTTTTTTTTAGGTTTTCATGACACTTTCTCCTAGTTCTCCTTCTCCCACCTGTTCTCAGTTTGCTATGCTTGATCATCTACATAAGGCCCACTGACCATGAGTGTCCTTCAAGGCTCTGTCCTGTACCCTGTTTCTATACTATACTAATTCATTAAGTAATACTATCAGCTCCCAAGAAGTCAACTAGTATCTCTACATGGATGATTCTCAGATCTATTTGTCCACCCCTAACATTTTTCCCGACCTCCAGTCTCACGTATCCAACTGCCTAGGAGGCATCTCAAACTGCATATCATGTAAACATCTTAAAGATGGCATGTCTAAAACTGACCTTATTACCTTTACCGCCAAACCCTCTCCTCCTCCTAACTTCCCTATTACTCTTGAGGACACCACCATCATCACTCAGACTTATAGCCCCTATGTGTTTATCCTTGATGCCTCACTCTCTCTCTCACCCTCCATATCCAATCAGTTTTCAAGTCCTATCATTTCCACCTTCTCAATATCTCTCATATGACTCCTTCTCTCCTATGCTCATACAAACATCCTGATGCAAGTTCTAATCATTTCAAGCATGGATGTTTCCAACAGCCTGTTGGTCATCCTGGCTGCCTCTAGTCTCTCCCTACTGTAGTCCATCATCCACTCAGCTGTCAAACTGATCTTGCTAAAGTTCAAGTCTGACCAAGTAATACTCTCCCCTCTCCCCCATTCAATCAACTCCCTATTGCCTCCAGGGTCAACTATAAAATCCTCTGTTTGACTTTTAAAGCCCTCCATAACTTGGCCCTTCCCTATCTTTCCAGTCTTAAAATTGACTCTTTCCCTCTCATCATACTCTACAATCAAGTGACACTGGACTTCTTACTGTTCTTTGCACACAGTACTGGGCTGTCCCCCATGCCTGGAACTCTCTCCCTCCTCAGCTCTGCTTCCTGGCTTCCCTCAAGCCTCAGCAAAGTTCCACCTTCTACATGTGGCCTTTCCCAGTCTTCCTTAATCTTAGTACATTCCTCTCTAAGATAATCTCCAACTTAACGTGTGCATGTATATGTGTGTGTGTGTGTGTGTGTGTGTGTGTGTGTGTGTGTGTGTATATATATATACACACACACACACACATATATATATATATATATACACACACACATATATATATATACACATATGTGTGTACATACACATATAAAAAATGGGAGAGACAAACCTGTTCATACGATAATTTCCAATTTATGAGAGAGTGAGAACTGTTCAGTCCTTTCAGTTGTGTCCAACTCTTTGTGACCCCTTTTGGCATTTTCTTGGCAAAGATACTGGAATGGTTTGCCATTTTCTTCTTGAGCTCATTTTACATATGAGGAAACTGAGGCAAACAGTGACTTGCCCAGGGTCACACAGCAAGTATGTATCTGAATTTAGGTCTTCCTGAATTCAGGCCCAGCACTCTATCCACTGTGCCATCCATATGAAAAGACGAACTTGTTTGTATATTGCTGTTTGCATGTTATCTCCCATTAGATCATGAGCTCCATGTGAACAGGGACTGATTTTTTTTGGGGGGGGGTGGTTTGTTTGTTTTTAGGGGGGTTGTTTTTCTTTGTTTTTCCTGTACTTAGCAAAGTACCTGGCACATAGAAGGTGCTTAATACATTCTTACTGACTATTGACTAAACCTAGTTCTCCTCACCCCACACATACTGATATAGGAAACCTCTTTCAAAATTCAGATGCCAGCCAATTATATACAACATATGTCTAGAAAGAGACATGAAATATATGTGTCCCGATAACAAAAATCCTAAGAATTTTTACCACATATTCAAGATATGACAGGAAATAATGGAAGTTCCTTTGTGAGAACGTCAAAAGTCCAAAGTGACATAAAGCAAAACCTCACCTATAACATACCTCTCCTGGAAGAAAAATTAGGTGTGGAGTTCAGTAAAGTTCAATACACATTGGTAGTTTTCTGGAAGAGTTTTCTGCAGTTTAATTATAATGACCAACATTTCATTCTTTTAAATGTTTGGTAAAAAGAAATATTACCAAGGAAGAGAATTAGAATGATTTGGGACATGAAAAATCTGAAATCCTCCTTCTAAACTGAAACTACTGCTTTGGGGCTCAGGTTTCCACCTCCACCCCCACCCCAAGGCATGATTTCCTTGCTGTTAAGATGTCTGAATGTGAGATGGAAGCAACTACGATAGGAGAAAAATTGGCTTCAAGTAGATTTAAAGGTGATTTTTGTTGTTGTTGTTGTTGTTGAAAAGCACTGGTTTCTCACTCCCAAGGCCACCTGAAAGACACAAATAGAAGCAGATGCCAACAATTTCTTGAAGGGTCTTATGAGGCAATCCACCCCCTTCCCTTCTGCTATTCCTTTGAAGAACACTTGGCTGTAATGACATGCCAGCATTAAATGTTGACCATAGCAAAGACTATTAGACCTGGAAGGGGATTCAGAAGTTATGTGGTCCAACTGCCTCATTTTAGAGATGACTAAACTGAGACCCAGAAAGGCTCATAACAATAATAACAGTAATAAACAGCTACCACTTACATAGCATTTACTGTGTGCCAAGTACCACGCCACTTTACAATTATTATCTCATTTGATCATTACAACAGCCCTGGAAGGTAGGTACTATTATTACCCCCATTTTACAGATGAGGAAACTGAGGCAAACAGAGGTTATGTGACTTGCCCAGGGTCACACAGCTAGTAAGCGTGTGGGGCCAAATTTGAACTCAAGTCATCCCAACTTTATGCCCAGCACTCTATCCATCTTGCCACAAGTCACACAGGTCATAAGTGTGAGTAAGCAAGCATTTGAACCCAGGACTATTTGATTTTGTCTCTCTAAATCATCTAACCCCTAACTAAACAGGCATCCCCTTTACAACACTGCTAAAAAAAAATGTATGATATACCTATAATGATGGGAAGTCCACTACCTCCCAAAAGCAAACTATTCTACTTCTGACTTCAATACATCTTATATTCTCCATTCTCCAACCTAGTGTTGTATTGTGGGTGTGGGGCACAGTCCTGAAGTTCTGCTTTGGTCCAAGGCATGGTTAAGTCTTCTATACCCATATGATTATAGAATCAAAGCCAGACGAGACCTCCAAACATCTAGTCTAGAAATGGTAACCAAAGTTCAGAGATATGAAGTGATTTCCTTGCCTAACATCACATGAGCAGAAAACATCAGAGGTAAGATTTGAATCCAGGCCCTTTGACTGCAAATATAGAACACTTTCCAGTACACCATACACTTCTCTCTTTTAATTAAGGTATTTGGGTACTTAATTAAGTTTGATTAAGGTGTATTCAAGGAGAGACAGTATGGCATAGTGGATAAGGAGATGACCTCAGAGTTCTAGAGACCTGTACTGAAATTTCACCTCTGATGATTTCTATGTATGTGAGTCTGAGCCAGTGATGTAATCTCACAGGGCCCCCTGGGTCACTTTCTGAGACTCTAAATTGTAGACCAGGGACTGACCTGAATCGATGAGCAAATTTCCTCATTGAGGGTTCCCAAAATCAATGAAATCACATGTCTAGTTGGAGAAGAAAAAATGCATCTCTACAACTGAAGCATGCAATAAGTCCAACAATGTCAGATGTATGAAAAACTTTGTGTAGGGGGTGAGGAAAGGTGTTTCCAAATCAGAAATAGAGATTTGCTATTTACAGCAAATTGAATTATAATATCTAATGGTCCATCATAACATACCATCTTTTGTTATTATTATAATTATTTAAATCTGACTTTATTTGTATAAAGTTTTTTGTAATTATGTTTGTGTAGTTCCCGTGTTTGACAAATCATCTCAAGAGATAGCATGTTATAGTGGAAGGAACAATAGAGTTGTATTCTGAAGGTGTAGATCTGCCAATTACTAGCTGTATGACTTTGGGTAAATCATTCACCTTGATAGTACAGTGGGAAAGTACTGAATTTGGAATCAGAGGACCTGGATTTTTTCTTCTCCGCTCCTTGGCGGTCTTTAAGCAGAGGCTGAATGATTTGTTGTTGTTATGTTCAATTGTTTCAGTCATGTCCGACTCTTTGTGACCACATTTGAGGTTTCCTTAGCAAAGATATTAGAGTGGTTTGCCATTTTCTTCTCCAGTTCATTTTACAGATGAGGAAACTGAGGCAAACAGGGTTAAGTGACTTGCGCCAGGGTCACAAGCTAGTAAGTGTGTGAGGCCACTTTTGAACTCACCAAGGTGAGTCTTCCTGATTCCAAACCCAGTGCTCTATCCACGGTACCACCTAGACACCCTAGAATATTTATCTGGTATGTTATATCATGGATTCCTTTTAAGTATAGATTAGACTGGATGCCAGCTGTGGTACCTTCCAAATGGCAAATTCTGTGGTTCTGAAGTTCCAAATTCTGACTCTGTCACTGTACAACCATGGGCAAGACACTTAATCTGGGCCCCAGTTTCTTCATCTGTAAAATAAAGCACTAGACTAAATGACTTTTGAGGACGCTTTTAGCTCTAAATCTATGATCACTCCTTGAGCCTCAGCTTCCTTACGATAAAATGGCAATATTAATGCCGCCACCAACTAGCACATAATAAAGCCATACAGATGCTAGTTTTGATGGAGAAGAACTCTGCTTACTGATGGAGAGGCAGCATGGCATGATAAAAAGAATATTATGCTTGCAATCAAGACCTCCAAATCATATTTATTAATAAAGACATAATTTGTAACTCCCAACAGACATAAAACTAAATAAGGGGTCTTGAAATCTGTTTACTAACTGAACTTTCAAGATATAATAAAAACTAAGAATTTTTTGTGAAAGTTGACTCTTTAAGAGGTATCTATCCTGAAAAAAAAAAGGCATTTCATTTGTACCATATGTTGACAGTGTGGTATATTAGAAAGAGAACCAGAGAAAGTCAAGAGAGAATTTGTCAAAATCCTGTCTCTGATATAATCTTTGTGTGCCTAGGCAAGTCACTTAATTAGCCTAACCCCCAGTTTCTGAGTCTATAAAATGGAAATAATCAGACTTGCCTTACCCTAATCACAGGGTTGCCATGAGGAAAAGCAAGGGCTTTATGTAAGCTATAAAATGGTAGAAAAGTGTGAGTTATTATTACTTGACCATTATGAACAGGATCCAAATCGAAGACATTGGTGGTAACCTGAACAGACAGAAAAGTGAAAGAGAAATCTCATTCATAGGATGTTTTTCCAAGCATACACACAAAAAAAAGTTAAGCATCAGACAGAACACTTTGTTCCAAGCTAGAGCTTCGTGAATTGGCCAAACAAAACCAGGTTTGGGATGTAAACTGAAAGTGAAGAGAGTAAATTTCAAATTTTGTTCTCCATTAGGAAGCTCTTTAAAGAATGACAGAAGTTGTAGCACAAAACCAGGAGAAGCCTGGATATTTTTCCTTTCTTTCACCATATACAAACCTCAGGCAATATGTGTATATACGTATGAGTCATTTTTCCCTGAAGCACTTTCTCTGATAGCTCTAAGAACTATAATTGAGGTCTGAAACAAATATAGAGAAAGTCCCAGTAATCATTTCCCAGTATTATAGGATCAGAGGAAGCTAGGTGGCCCAATAGATAGAGTACTGGGCCCAGAGTCAGGAAGATCTAAATTCAAATCTGACCTCAGACACTCACTAGCTGTATGACCCTGGGGCAAGTCACATTTTCCTTGGAGGCAGAGAGGTGGCTCATTGGATTGACCTGAGTTCAAATCCAGCCTCAGACACTCACTAGCTGTATGATTCTACACAAGTCATTTAACCTCTATGCTTGCCTTAATCTACTGGAGAAGGAAATGGCAAACCATTCCAGTATCTTTACCACGGAAAATCCCCTACGGGGCCACAAAGAGTCAGACAAAAGTGAATGACTAAACAACAAAATCATAGCTTCATTGTTTATTGATCCTTTCATTTTACAGATTAGGAAACTGATGTCTAGAGATGTTAAGTGCCTAGTCATATAGCTAGTCAGTATGTTAGAGCCCAGATTCGACCCCAGGTCCTCTAACTCCAAATCCAATGTCCTTTTGCCTAAGGTAAACCAACTCTTCTCTCAAGAGAAAGATGGGGAACTTCCTCAAGTACTTCCAGAAACATTCTAATATAGTGCAGTTCATATTCATGAATAATAGGCATTTGTTTGGCCTATGCCCAGGTCACCTAAGATGGAGAGACGGAGACACTGATGAGGGAGAGCCCTGTCCTAGAACACAGGAAAATAAGTACAGGTCTGGTTTACTGCATGGTAAGGAGCAGCCTGTTTCCACTGGCTGCATATCTAGAACTGTCTGCATCTTTAAAATCACCTGGTGGGCAGCTAGGTGGCACAGTGGATAGAGCACCAGCCCTGAATTCAGGAGGACCTGAGTTCAAATCCGACCTCAGACACATAACACTTACTTAGCTGTGTGACCCTGGGCAAGTCACTTAGCCCTATTGCCTAACCAAAAAAAAAAAGTTTTAAAAATAAAATAAATAAAATACCATAAAAACCATCTGACTAGGACATTCTCTCTCTCTCTTTTTCTGGTAAGATCCAGGAGTGAAGGATTCATGCACTTACAGAGGAGACATATTGAAGTAAGCCAGGAAAGTTATGACAGCCAACTTCTCCTCCCCTTAGACCATGTGCCAGAGAAACAGCTGTGGGGTTTGTGTCTATTTTGTTTGTCATTTTCAGTTATAGGTGAAGGAAGGGGAATTCAAGCCATGGGGATCTGGGTTATAGGCCAGTTGCCATAAGCCCAGCAGTGAAGCCCTGAGAAGCTAGGGCTCCAGGGCCAATCCCAGACAAGGCTTTGGACTTGAATTTGGTGATGCTAACTCTGTGTGGGAATTGAATTAATCTGTAAACCTAATTCTCCTCCAGTCCTCAGAGACTAAAATAGTACAAGGGGGATGATCACGGCCCTGAGGCATTTGGGGGAAATATTTGTATGCTACCTTCAGGGTATATCTGTAAAGTAAATAATCTTATCGTTAAATGAAACTGGGATGCTCAGACTCCAAAAATTGGGGGACCACAATCAGTGGGAGCTTAAGCTCATAGCAGAGATAAGAGAGCTCCCCCTTACCAGACAACTTTGGAAGAAGGGTAAAATGTAACACACCTGGCCTTTGGGCAATGGGGAGGGGGGAAAGACCAGAGAATCACTGTCACATATGTATCACACTTTAAGGGTTATAAAGCTTTTTCCTCAAAACAACCCTGGAGAATAAACAGAACTATTTTTTATTTCCATTTTGCTGATGAGAAAACTGAGGCTCAGAGAGACTTGCTTAGAGTCAAAGAAATCTCAGAATTCTAGCAGTGGAAAGGATCTCAGCATTTATCTAGTCTAACCCATTCCTGGAAAAGAGTCCCCTCTCCAGCACCCCAACAAGTGGTCATCCTTTGCTTCAAGACTTCCAGTGACGGGGACTCCACCCCCTCCCAGGGCATTCCATTCCACTACTTGGACAGCTGTGTTTTGTTAACAATGAAGTGTCAAGCCAGGCTTTAAACCAAGTCAATTTCCACTTTCATAAAAACCACAATAAGCTACAATTATAAACTACAATTCCAGGAGAAAAAATTCTGATGTCATACCTCTTTAGCTGGCGCAGTGTGAGGTCAAAAGTCAAGTTTTCTCATCAGTTATTTTATGATCGTTTTTGGTCCCATGGCCAGCGTGCCTGGTAAAGCAGCCCTTCTTTGCCACAGTATGGTTTTCCTTGGTACTTTGTTGTTCTGGGTGTCTTGGTCCCTTTGTTAGTGGTGATTCTTGGTATCAAATTTGGTCATGTGGTTGCTTCAATAGTCTTTGTTTTGCCTTGACGGAGGTGTCAGACTTGGTTCCTAATGTGGAGTAGAGAAAATAAAACAAAGCCCACATTAGCAATGTTTTTAAAAGAGTACTCATACATCCGACCAAAACACATAGTGCTTTGTAAGAACGGCCTAGAGCTTGACTGTGCAGTAAGAAATAATAAATATTGGCATTCAGAAAAACATGAAAAGGTTTGCATGAATTGATGTCATGCAAACTAAGTGGAACCTAAAGAACTCTATAGACAATGACTATACCAAGGTAATGAAAAGGTAACCAAAAAGAACTGGAATCGGAGTAACGGAAAGAAACCAGTGAAGGTACTAGAGAACAGATTTTTAAAAAGATAGCTCGTCCCTGGTGGCATCACAGTGGGGGAGCTAATAGGAAAGATTTTGTTACAGATAAGCTTTTGTTTCATCTTTCTGATGGTTCCTCCTATTGGTTTTAATTTTTACTTACAACTTTACTAATGTGAAAATATGTTTAATGGGTATGTAAATGTAAAGCCTATGTCAGATTGTGCGCCGTCTTGGTGAGGGGGAGAAAAAGGGAGAAAAAATTTTCAACTCAAAAGCATGTGGAAAAAAAATTGTTTTAAATAAAAATTAAAGAGATTTGGGAAAAAAAAGCTTTTGTTTAACTATTTTTCCTTGTCAGAGGGAGAGTTCGATTTGGAAGTGATGGGAAATGGGATGTAAGACAAAACGGTTCAAATTAAGTCTTCTTTTAAAGAATATAATACATAACACCTCAGGTGGAATTACATTAGCAATTAGCCGATCAACAAGCAGGTGCCGGGAATTATGCTAAGTGATGAAGACACAAACTGCTCAGGCATAGTATATAATCTCCAGTGGAAGAGGCTGAGGAGTCACTTTCAGTAAGGGAGAATGACATGTAACAGCTACCCTATTTGGAGCAGGTGTAGACATTTCAGCAGCTGGTTTCAGTCTGCAAACTCTCGATCAGCTTGTAGGTTCAAAAGACCCTAATGAGTCAGGGCCTTGCTGGTGGTCTGGCTCTTTCCTGCCCAGCTGTTAATTCTGTGAGAGATTGCTAGAAGAGGAATAACCTCAAAAGTTACTTTAGTGGTGTAAATACTAGGTAGAAACTAACTTAAAGTTTGAGCGCACTGTCCCTAGGGACCAAAGTGGCATAGAAGGGAATGTACTCCCAGGGGCTAAAGTGAAAATGTATATACTTGCTCTATTTTTGTGGTAAATATTCCTTTGTAAAATCTAATTGATATTAATTGGTTGAATGAAAGTGAGGCAACACTCACTTTTTTTAGAACCTCATATTTTTTAAACTCTAACTCTTAGGGCAGAAGGATAAAATGATCTGTTTCTCTCCTTTTCCTTCTCTCAAAAAAATTTTTTAATTAAAGCACTATCTGATAGTGGGGAGAAATGAACTGGAACTGGGGGGGGGGAGGAGAGGAGGATGTCAAGCTGATAGTATTAGAGAAAAGACATCATTTAAGGGTACCTGGGACCCTCAGGGCCTTATGTTAACTATAGCCTTGCTCTGGGAGAGTGAGTCCAGAGCCTTGCTGTCATACTCCATGTCCCACCTCTGTCCGTTGTGCACACTGCCTGCCCCACCATTCATAGAATGCACTTCTTCCTCACCTCTGCCTCTTGCTATTTTCCTTCAAGTCAGTTCATACACTACTCTTTTATGTGAATCCTTTTGTGATTCCCTCTAGATGATAATGCCTCATCTTAAAAATTTACCCAGTATTTATTTTGTATAATATATAGGACCATGTAAATTATAAGATAAAATATTATATGTTATGTATATCATACATGTGAAATTATATTGTATATCTATGTATATATTCATATATGTGTATATAGATTTATCTATTATAGAATCAAAACTTCTTGAGGGAAAAGACTTTCACTTTTGTCTTTGTAAACCCAATATAGCTCTACAGTATTCAAGAATAAGATTAATAAGCATGCAGTACTTAATGCTTATTGATTGACTCAATGATGCATATTCCATAGTGACTAAAGAGCCAACTTTGAAGTCAAGAAGATCTGGGTTCAAGTCCTGCCTCAGATATACTGGCTCTGTGACCCTGAGTAAATCATTTAATCTCTCAGTTCTTTAATATAACTTTCTAAAGCCAAAAGTCGCTAAACAGTTGCCAACATATATTGGTAGAGGGACCCTCCCCCCAAACATTCCCTGAAATGATGAAATCACAAGCTGGAGAAAATAGACATATATAATATGGACATATAGATAAAGAAGTTCTGGAAATTTGAGGATACACATGCAACATGGAAATTACTGTGATTTCTGTTAGTAGTCATTCAACTAATATTGTAATCACAAAATTCGCATAATGCCAGATCCGGAAGAGGTCTTAGAGAACATTTGTGTCCCCTTATGTTACAGAAGAGAAACTAATGCCCAGAAAGATCACATGACTAAGAATCACATAAGACATTGAGAACAGAATAGAGACTCAGTGGGATCTTCTGATCCCAGACTCATGTTCTTTCTGCTATACCACAGTGAGCCCTCTCCTCCCAAAAAAAGGTCACATGGCAGGCTTCCTGAAAGTAATAGATAATTCCTATCCCCAAGTACTTTTCCTGAGGAAAAGGAAAAGTCAACACACGGTTGAGAGGGCAAACGTTTGAAGTCCAGCATCCCTGGACCCAAAGGTAGGCCTTCATGAATATGCATAAACACATACATGCATAGATACTTACACACACATTTTCATTCCTATTTCTAGAACAGGTCAGGATAATGTTTTGCTGCAGGAAGCTATTCATCAAGCACTGAAGAGCAGAGCTCTGAGTGATAACTGCACAATTCCTTGATAAGAGCCCACAGACACTAAAGAATCTTAGAGGGCTCAATTATTCAATAAACATGTAGTGGAGATAATTCACCATAGGACAACCTATGATAGAACCATAGACATTATGAGGTGGAAAGCACTTTAATAATTATCTAGTCAAAATATACAAGAAAGGATATTGATATAGCTCAAAATATGCAAGAAAGGATATTGATATAGCCCAGGAAAACTAAGCAACTTGCCTTAGTTCACACAGCTCTTCAAATGCTGAACTGATGGAATGAGTGATGAAGGAAATAAGAATTTGTATTGTTGTTCAGTCATGTCTGACTATTTACGAATGCATTTGGGGTTTTCTTGGCAAAAATGCTGTAGTAATTTGCCATTTCTTTCTCCAGTTCATTTTACAGAAGAGGAAACTGAGGCAAATAGGATTAAGTGACTTGCCCAGCTTCACACAGCTACTAAGTGTTTAAGGCCAGATTTGAACTCAAGAAGATGAGTCTTCCTGACTCCAGGTATTGTGCTCTATCTACTGCACCAACCTAGCTCTCTCAGGAACGAGAATAACTTATGTAGTCTATAGTAGTATAGTTTATGTAGGTATTTTGGTTTACCAAATGTTCTACATAATTAGTCAATCAATAAATAGATAAACATTTATTAAGTGTCTGCTATGTGCCAGGCACTCTTATTTGCTCTTCAAAACAACCCCTTAAGGAAAGTACTACGGATATTATCATCCCCATTTTAAAGAGGAGGAGACTGAGTTTCAGAGACATTAAGTGGCCCGCCTCTTGTCAAGCAGCTAGTATTGTAGATTTAGAGTTGGAAGGGACCTGAGAGGCCATCTAATCCAACTACCACACCTTACAAATGAGGAAAGAGAAGCCAAAAGAGGTTAAGTAACAAAGACAGGATTCAAACCCACACACCTCAACCCCCAGCCAAACATTCCTTCTACCACCTCCATCTGCCCTTTGAATTACTACCAGAGCAAGAGGCAATAGAATGGAGAGCTATCAGGGACACATACACAGACTTACAGAAGTGTGGTGGAGAGTATGAAGAAGAGGTTGGCTTTTAATATGCATCTCCCTCCCTCTCTCTCTCTCTCTCTCTCTCTCTCTCTCTCTCTCTCTCTCTCTCTCTCTCTCTCTCTCTCTCCCTCTGTCTCACACACACACACACACACACACACACACACACACACACAAAATCTGTTAGAATCTCTTAATGAGAAAGGTGCCAATAGGAAAGCAGCTCTCTCTCTTTTCCCATGAGTCATGATGTGGTTAGAATGTTTTCCGTAAAGTGAAGAAAACAGATGCCAGAGTGGAGGAGATCCAGGAGTAGAAATAGGAGCCTAGTTGTATAAAATCAGAGCTACAGATCAGTTCCAGAGAACCCGACAGATCCAATAAAACTTCCACGTACCTAGCACAGAAACCCGATTTGCAAAAATCACCACCTAGCCCAACAGCCATCTATATTCCCTCAGGCTAGAAATTCAAGACCGATTGCACTGATGAGGTTTTCTTAGGCTGACTGTCCAGTTTCTTTGAGGACAAGAACATCTGGGGAAAAGCTGCTTTTCAAGGTTGGTGGCAAATGTAGGACATAGAAAGAGGCCTGGACTTGGTATCCATTGTATCCAAAGACTTGGGTTCAGGTCTCAGCTCTTATTGATTACTAGCTCTTTGATCTTGAATATGTGACTTTCTTCTCTAGGATTTGGTTTCTTTCTCTGTAAAGGAATACCTGTACTATGCTCATCTTGCAAATTTATTGTGATAATTAAATGAGATAATGTATATAAAGTACTGATAGTCTAGTGCAGTGTAGGGCAAGCCAGTCTTAGATGTAAGAAGGCCTGGATTCAAGTCCTGTTTGTGACCCTGTTACTGTGTAAGTCTCACCTTCTAAGCATCCCAGAAATCTGCTAACATTTTATGCTACAGAGCAGTTGTCAATCTGCAGTTGTAGAAGAAGTCTCCTCATTCAGAATTCTTTTTATCAATGAAAAACAGTACCTGATACACAGTTGTTGCTATTTTAGTTGTGTCCAACTCTTCGTGACTCCATTTTGGATTTTCTTGGTCAAAGATATTGGAGTGTTTGTCATTTTCTTTTCCAGTTCATTTTACAGATGAAGAAACCAAGGGTTAAAAAAACTTGTCCAGGGTCACCCAGCTAGTA